GGTGTACTTGATTCATTTGACTTCCAGTCATATGATGTATGTAAATCTTGTTTACTTGGTAAAATGACAAAGGCTCCATTCACCGGTCACGGTGAAAGGGCGAATGACTTATTGGGCCTCATACACTCCGATGTCTGTGGTCCAATTAGCACTGTAGCTAGAGGTGGTTATTCTTACTTCGTTACATTTACTGACGACCTTAGTAGATATGGATATGTGTATCTCATGAAACACAAATCGGAATGCTTTGACAAATTCAAAGACTTCAAGAACGAAGTACAAAAACAATTAGGCAAAAGTATTAAGACCCTCCGCTCGGATCGAGGAGGTGAATACTTAAGCCTGGAGTTCGATGACTATCTGAAAGAGCATGGGATCTTATCCCAACTCACTCCTCTAGGGACACCTCAGTTAAATGGAGTGTCTGAGAGGAGAAATCGGACTTTGCTAGACATGGTCCGGAGCATGATTAGTCTGACAACATTGCTAGAATCATTTTGGGGATATGCATTGAAAACAGCAGCACACACACTCAACAGAGTTCCATCTAAAGCTGTCGAGAGCACACCATACGAACTATGGCGTGGGAGAAAACCGAGTTTCTCGTACTTTAAGATTTGGGGCTGTGAAGCTTATGTAAAACGTCTCATGACGTCTAGTAAGTTGGAGCCTAAATCTGATAAAGTAGTTTTTATGGGATACCCCAAGGAAACTAGAGGGTATGAGTTCTATCATCCATCCGATAACAAAATCTTTGTTGCTCGGAATGGAACCTTCCTTGAGAAGGAGTTTCTTTCTGCTATCACTAGTGGGAGAAAGGTAGACCTCGAAGAAATTTGAGAACCACAAGAAGAAGTCCCGATAGTGTTGGAACCTGAGCAAAGAGATCAAGCAATTGAACCTCAAATTGCTCAAGATATACCACGTAGGTCAGACCGGATACGTAATCCTCCGGTCAGATATGGATTTCTCATGTCTGATGAAGGTGACGTCTTGTTGGTAGATCAAGGCGAACCAGAGACCTACCTTGAGGCAATTACATGCCCCGAATCCGATCTATGGCTCGAAGCCATGAAATCTGAAATGGAGTCTATGTACACAAACCAAGTCTGGACCTTGGTTGATGCGCCCGAAGGGGTAAAACCCATTGGATGCAAGTGGGTCTTCAAAACGAAGACAGACGTAGACGGGAAGGTTCATACCTTCAAAGCTAGATTGGTAGCAAAAGGTTATAGACAAATCCACGGAATTGACTATGATGAAACCTTTTCTCCAGTTGTTATGCTGAAATCCATTCGGATAATGCTTGCGATTGCAGCCTATTACGATTATGAAATTTGGCAGATGGACGTCAAGACGGCTTTCCTTAACGGGAACCTCAAAGAGGATGTTTTTATGACACAGCCTGACGGTTTTCAAATTGCTGGTCAGTCTGCCAAAGTTTGTAAGCTGCAACGTTCAATCTACGGATTGAAACAAGCATCTCGGAGTTGGTACATACGTTTCGACGAAACCATTTCCAGTTTTGGTTTCAAGAAGAACTCTGACGAATCTTGTGTATACAAGAAGGTCAGTGGGAGTGTAATAGTATTCCTAAT